ATTTTTGATTCTTAACACATAAACAAGAACACATACAATTGATGTTCTCACCATGAATGATAAAGATGTGCCAAAACCTAGCTCATACTTTACTAGAGTTGTAATTGCAGGGAAAACTAGTATTTCTTATTCTGCTAGTTTGTACCTACTAGCAAAATTTAGTTCATTTTTCTACTAGTTCATGCATATATACACTCACATTGATAATACTAACATTATTAATAATAGCACTAAAACCAGTAATATTATCTGTGATTACCCAGATAACGCTGATCACCATATTCTGTAATTATACTTTCTACCAGATAAGATCGAATGAAAAACTAATGCTTATCAAAATTCTGATAAGAACTGGAGTCCTATACAGCATGAAAACCAATGTTAATGAAGCCAACAGAGGCTTGAAACTTAATTTAAATCCTCTATTTTGAGTTGCTATTCAGATCATTTATGGGATGTTATATTTTCTTTCCATTCCGATGCTGTAAGCTTTCTTCCAAATTTTGCAGCTAGAATGGCAATCTTTTTCATAAGTGTTCTTTTTGGAAAAATTGGGCACATCTTCCAGTTTTATGTCATGTCATGCCATGTCATGTCATGGTTTCTATATTTGGATTTGAAAACAAACTCTATAGCACTCAAAGAAGCACTTATTTCTGTGATTTTTCAGTGTGACAAAAACTTGAGAAAGACCTTTGAAAATTCTTTAGCAATATATTCACAACTTCCAGCAACTTCAATGAGTGGCAGTTATTGACTTATGATGCTATTTAGGACATATTGAAAGGCAATCAGGAATCTTTTCAAGTATTTCCATAGTTACTGTGTATAAACATCTGGATTTAATAATCCTGTAGTGATACAAGAAACTGCTAGGAGTCTAAGAATTAGATGTGGTCTCATGGAGATCCCTGCAATGGATTTTGCTGCAGCAAATGTTAGACAGAAGATTTCTGGTGATTACTTTTTAGAAGGCTCTGAAAAAGAACATACAGAAGTGTTATAGCCTCCTAAAATTTACTGTCTTTTCCAAAATAAAGAAGTTAATATTCATCATATGCCAGCATTATTTCAGGCCTACTTGTGGTCTTGATCAATTCCACAACTTTTCAATATCTAGTTTCCATTTATTCTCCCTGACTGCCCTCCAGTCCACTTAACAAGTGACCTTTTAAATAGTAAATATTGCTAAATTTTACCCTTCAGTCACCTATTGGGCTTGAGTGTCTCAATCAGTGTGAGAAAGAAATCCTTGAGCAGCTACATTCACAAGCAAAATTCTCAGTGTTCAGTCCACAGATGTACAGAAGATTCCAACACACACTGTTATTGGTAAGGAAAAATTATGATTATTGTGCCTGAAATCTAAAACAATGCACCCCTCTAGCACTCACTATAATTTTGCACAAATTTATAATTTGAACTCCTGGTTCAGTTAGCTTACAAACTAGTGGTTTATTTCTCTGTATCTGCTTAGCAATCCGATGTTAGGCAAACCTCTGCAGAAAATGTTTCTGAATTAGACAGTTGCTTTTTTATTTCCTATCAGTCTCTAGTCTTCTGATCTGATCTCAGAGCTAGAAGAGCTCTAGAATGGAAAACAGATTTCTGGCACAAATAACCAACATATTATTTCTCTTGCTGAATTATGAAGTAGTCAATGATATCACTTTGATTTTTCCCTAGAAGCATAGGAGTCAAGAGCAGCTAAGTGGTTACTGAGCTCTAAACCTGTCACATAGGAAACACACAGGAACAATTATTGTTCTTTTAATGTTCTTGGTAATGTTTTATAGCATCTATCCTGCAGATGCAAAAGTATAGATTGCTGTCCTTAATAAGAAGGACATAAGCTGAACATAAATTCTAGAGATCTTTCTCATGGTTTAAACAGAACTTCAAAGCTAAAATTTGCACTGAGAAAGTAATTTCCCCAACATGAAAGAAGCCTTGCGAGTTGCAACAGAGATATCTAACTCACATACCCATTTACATAATCAATCCCAAGGAAGATGTGACCATGCCTGCCACAGCTCATCACAAACAGTATCAGAAATGCACCCCAGGCAGTCTCTAAGGGAAGTTGGAAAGTGTTGGAAAATAATTTCAATTTAGAACTGAAGGAATACTTCAGATTAAAAAAAAGGCACCAGGTCTACAATGGAGACTGAAAATGTCAGATTTTCTAAAAAAAATGCCGTAATTCCAAACCACATCTCTGCTCTTAAGAAATGTTAGCTAAAGAATCCAATTTTTATTTTTTTTTATTTTTTTTATTTTTTTAAGAAACCTAGTTTCCTTTATTCGTCCAAAGAGAAGCACTCCGACCACATACAAAACAATATGTCCTGAAGTAAACTGGAAAAGATGCAAGTTTTAATATATGATCAATACCATGATTCAGATGATGCAACAATAATTTGCTAAGATTTTGCTCCTATAGACAGAAAACAGTAAAAGAGATGAGAAAAATCACAAGGGAATGAAAAGAAGGAATGACATTGCTGTGCTGGTGGTAATGTACTATGTGCTGACTACTTTTATCAAACCTTTCAGTGCTACTGAAAGAAGTGTTCAGAAGAAGTGAATCTGTGACAACAGGAAACTCTGGCTGCACAAACTTTTAACAATTTTTTTCTTATCATGCATAGAGAAAACAGCTGAGTAGGTGACTTTTACAGCATCATCCTAAGAAACAGGGCAAGAAGCAAAAATATGAAGGTGCACTAAAACTTGGGTGAAAGTGATCATGAAGCACAAAAAGCTTCAGATTAAGATGGGAGATATTTCAAGAAATCAGATGTCAATACACTCAAAGACTCAAAGTATTAGTAGGTAAGACATGACAGGAATTAATTCATACTGAAAGGAAGATTTAGAGGACTTAAAATTTAAACTACCCATATAAATAAATATGAAGGTCCATCTCCATAATCTGTCAATGAGCTTGGCAAAATAATGGCAAATCAGTAATGTGAAAACAGTTGGTACTGAAGAAGCATATCCACCCTGTACTCACTTCTGAGGTTTTACCTTGGACAAGCTATAGAAAAGTCAAAGATAGATGAATACTGAAGAAAATTACACTTGTAGGTGATGAAATGTCGACTACGTGATTCTTCCTCAGACATGGCCCCTTGAGCTCCAATTTCTTTTTTCTTGGGGGTTGGGGAGTGGGTGAGGGAGAAGAAGGGAGGATGGCAAAAGATTTCACAATGAAAACATCAGAACTTCTGAAATGAGGATTTCCAGAAGAAGAACCGTTTAGCTGGAAGATTTTGACTGGCTCTGATCCTGACAAGACTACAACAAAAAGCCTCCAACTCTAGTAAAGGGTCTGCATTAACACAGAAAGTGATAGACACAAAACAGAGTCACTACTACAGGAACACTGACAGCTATGGGCACCAGAACTGGTTAACACAGGCTGTCTATCAGCATTTTTATGTCGTTGGTAAATCATTGTGTTGATTGCTGGTGGCAAGGCTTTGGCTGAGGAGCACAGTGGGAGGAGGTCAGATATGCCCTGAGCAGGTCAAGGCTAGTACTGGCTCGTTGCAGCTAGCTCCGTGAGACACCCCTAAGGCGCTGCTCAGCCCCTCAGCTGTGTACAAAGAACGTAGCCCTCTAAGAGGAGAAGAACAAGAAGGAACTGCAGCCTGCCAAGAGCCTGCATTGCAACAGGAAGTTTGAGAAGGAGCATCAGAGGGAAACTATTACGGACTGACTGTAACTCCAGTCTCTTATCCGCTTGTGCTGTCTGATGGGGAGAGGAGTTGGGCACAAAGGAGTGAAGATGAGCTTGTGAAAATTGGAGGGGAGTTTTCTGGCAGTGGTTCATGTTTTTGTCTTTGTAATTTAGTATCAAAATTTTAATAAATCAGTTTTCTCCAAGAACTGGCAAACAATTTCCCAGTTCTCTGTCATGTTGACTAACAAGCTTTTCATTCCTGTTTTCTGACTCCACATCCAGCTGACGTGGCAGACTGTGGCAGACTGTGAGAGCAACTTGATGGGCTACGGTTAACTCACCATAGTCACTTAGTACTAGTGGCTTATCTTGGCAGGCAGCTTAGCATCACAAAGCTTTTTGCTCACGCCCCTCCTCTTAGGGGATAAAGAGAATTGAGGAAAAAAAAAGAGGTAGAAATTGCGGCTTGAGATAAAAACTACTTACTAAGACAGAAAAGGAAGACAGAAATAACAGTAATGATAATTTTATATATACATATGGAATCATGTATTAAGATCACAGAATCATTTAGGTTGACCTTAAAGGTCATCAATACCAACTATCCACTTAAAAGTCCATTGCTAAATCATGCTCCTACATGCCACATCCTCATGTCTCTTAAAATTTCTCCAGGGTTGACAAAGCCATCACCTCCCTGTGCAGCTTAATCACCCTTTTCATGAAGAATTCTTCCTGATGTGCAATCTAAACCTCTATTGGTGCAACTACTTGTAAAAACTGAGCACTGTATTCAAGGTACAGTCTCACTAGTGCTGAGTATAGAGGGAAAATCAATTCCCTGGTCAATTCCCGCTTCTGATACAAGCCAGAATACCAGTGCCCTTGGCCACATAGGCACATTGCTAGCTGTTGACCAGAACCCCAAGATCCTTTTCTGCCAGGAAACTTGTCAGCCACTCTTCCTATAATGCTGCATGGGGTTATCACAATGTAAATAAGGCACTCAGCACGTAGCTTTGTTGAATGCCATAATAATTGGATATGACCCACTGATCTAGCCAATTCAGATCCATCTGCAAACAAATGAACACTCCCCATTATCATCTCCCATCTTCAGATAAGTGAAAACCCAATTTTGGAGACATTTGCTTAATGTAGGAATAGTTACATCATGTAAAATCTATTATGATGGACTAAGGTCTTTCACTGTGACTAAGTCACCTCTTCAGGCATATTCTCACTTGCTATTCATTCAAGTGAACTATGACACTAGTGGCAAATAGCAGCAATGCAGGAAAACACTCACAAAAATTTTCCATTGTTTCTTGATCCAGTGAGGATACGCTGCTCTGACTCCTCCCGAGAGATCCTGCCATGGAACCAAGGCATCTTCTCATGGGCTGTAGTGGCAATCAGTTTCTCCAGCTGAGGCTTTTGGCTAATGATAGCTTGTTCAAGAGCATGACCCTGGAGTGATAAAACAACGGGACATTCTAACTGTCTTCTGCAATAGAAAATATACAGATATAATCCCAATACTGTATTGCTTTTGGGACACCTAAAACATGCATGTATTTTTTTTTATGTGAAGAAAAATAGTAGTTGTTACACAGACATTAAAAGATTTTTCCTTTATTTCTGGGAAAGAAATTAGTAACTTAATACATCAGTATCTCAACTGAAAAGATAGTCCGATATAGCTAGACATATTTAACGACCCTGAGATGTCAAACTGTATCTCTGAGAGTGTCATCCAAACACTGCTCAAAATTTGGCAGCCTGGTGCCATGAGCTCTGTTCTGGGGAGCCTGCTCCATGCCTATCACCTCTGGTGAAGAGCCTTTTTTCAATACCCAACCAGACCCTCCCCAGATGCAGCTCCATGCCGTTCCCTTGGTGGGTCCTGCTGCTGTTATCAGAGAGCAGAGATTAGCACCTGCCCTTATATTCCCTTAGAGAGGAAGCTCTAGACTGCGCCGAGGTCCACTTTATGGCAAATTCACCTGGATTTACCTGCAGATTCCATGTCTGTTTGACATACTCTCTGATGAGGTTCTCTTTTAAATCTTCAAAAGGCCCTGTTTTGGGCTCAATGCCTGGTGGTCGATTAAAAGATTTTCTCAGTAGACAGATAAGGCCATCTGCTTCCTCTGAATGATAGTTAATGAGTTCAGCAGGATTTGCATGTGATTTGCCTCCTGCAATAGCATATGTCCCACTCATCTCTCTCTCAATTGTGTAATGATGAACCTTCCTTCCATAGGCCAAGGATAAGGCAAAGCCCCCTAGGTAATTCCGGCTTTGGCGAAGCAGGTATAGTCCATCACTCATTCCTCCTTGCATCAGATATTCCTCAGCTTCCTCGCGTGTAATATTGCCAAAGAAGTAAGGCAGATGGTTAGCAGGGCTAGCCGTGTTGGAAGCCATGATTTTTTTTTTTCTTTCCAAGTAGTCAATTAATGTTTAATGCCTGAAAAGAAAAAAGGAAACATGAGTATCACTAAAATTAATTAATGTGTTAGTGTTACCTTGAACAGCTTTCATCTCTAACTGCTTATACTGTAATAATGCAAAGGAACACTGATAATGAAAATACAGAAAAGAATGAAGTTCAGTATCTCTGAAGAATAGTGAAGACAATAGCTTAAATTCTTTTATTTTTAATTTAACAGTTAAAGAAATCTCTTATAATTATGTAATTCTAAAAAACACGCACAGTGTCTCTACAGAACTCTAGCTACAGGAGTACTGTTCTTGTCTCCTGTGTTCCCTTGAGTTACTTCAATCTTTGACACTGCCATCAGACAAACTTACTTTTATTAAACCCTAAGACACCTTTACACTGCCTGGACAGCTAGGTACTGTCCTATAGAAAAAGACCACTGTTTCTCTGTCATTACAAGATCACTGCATATCTGATATTCTTTTTTTCCAGTGTATGTACACTAAGAAAAATGTGTGTATACAAAGTACAATAACTAGGACATTAATGTAGAAAATAGATACCGGTTTTATTCATATTACTGTTACTCTGTCTTTCTGTCTTCATTACTTTGAATAAGGACTGAATAAAGGCTGACAAAAGAATGAGAAGCTCAGCTGCTGTTTTGGTTGCTGTGCGGGATCTAGGTGCAGAAGCAGTACAGCCTTCACAAATAAAATAAATGACAGGATTTTAGGGCAACGAGGCAGAAGTCCATGGAATCAGCATTAAAAAATGCAAGTATACATCAAGATCACACAGCTTGCAGCTGACTGAAGCGCACAACTAAGTCATTTGAAAGCAAGAGAACTTTATGGAAAACCATGTAAGAAGGGAGGATCCCTGGTGCAACACTGCAACTGAGGAGTTGGCACCCTAAAAAAGAACCCTTTGTCACAGCCCTGCTGCAAACAGGCTTGTGGCCTGCTCAGTTCATAGATGCATCATTAGCAAACTGTGGCCAATCTAATATTTCTTGCATGTGGGGCAAGAAACAGATGAGAAATACCTTTACTACTCTGAGTATGCAAGGTAGTTGCAGTGAGGGGAGCATGCAAGTCAACTGAACAAGAATCCCACAATATAGAAAACAATGCAGAGAAGTATAGATGGTGCAATCAAGACTGAGCCATATGTTCTGCAGATCTTCTGATTTTCTCTCCTTCCTGAATTTATATATTCATATATACATATATACACACCAGCTGGAGAACTACTACAGCCCTACAAAAAAGATCTGTATACAGCTTATTTATTAACTCTTGTGGTTTGCATCCAAAAATTACTAACTTAAGATCACTTTCTACATTCAATATAATATTTTCATCATTTTTGCTGATAAAATTTCCCTCTGCTTTGCCTTTTAAATCTCTACATTTTAGGCAGTCATGTTCTTAGTCTAAATTAGCTATCATTACATCTCTTCATTTATTCATTGCAAAATAAACCTGTAAGGAAAGAGGTGGAAAAGGACAGTAGCCAGTAAGTCACTACAGTCATTCTACAAAAAATACCATCTAAAGCGGCAATTACATTTGCACCAAATGAAGACTAAGAGGACTTCCATTCAATTAAATGCATTATTTCAGTAACTCATTGCAGGGCCAGAGGTTTGTAATCACTGACACTTGTCCCAGTTGGATGTTCTTACTGGTATACTCCAGGACCCATATAGGAGCCAGTACCATTCAACATCTGCATTAATGAGAGGGACAGTGAGGCTACAAGTTCACACACAATACTAAACTGCAAGCTGTAGCAGATAAAACAGAGGATGCCAGTTGTGGGGACCCTGCAAGGGGTGGAGAGCTGAGCTGAGCGGAATTTGATTTATCTCAACAGGGAAAAATTCAAGGACTTGCACTTAGGGAGGAATAATGCCAAACACAAATATCCACTGTGAACTATCAGCCTGGAAAGCAGAAGAAAATAACCTTAAAGTTGTTGTGGACTACAAAATAATCATGACCCAGCAAAGTGACTCTAGAACACCTGAAGAAAAATACCAACAGCAGCTTGAGGGAGGGAGCTGTTCTCTCTTCTCAGCACAAAGTACCCTGCTGGAGTACTGTGTGAAGTTCTAGGCTCCTCAGTACAAGGTAGAGATGAACATAATGTAGAAAGTCCATTGGAAGACCTCTAAAATGAGGAAGAGGCTGGAGCATCTTCTCATAGGTAGGATGCAGAGAGAGCTCAGGCTGTTCAGCTGAGAGACGGCTCGGGGCATATCTCGTCAAGGTGTAAAGATATCTGAAGAGAGATTGTCAAGACAATGGAACTAAGCTACTTCTTGTATCCACTGAGATGAGGCAGAAACAGAGAATGTTTCTCCCTATCATTAGGAAACATCCATGCTGTAAGAGTGGCTAGGAACCGAAACAGGTTGCCAAGCAGGCCTTGTACATGGCAGCTCTTCCTCTAGGGAATGGGTGTCCAACAGGTCGGCTTGCCTGAGCTGAATAAAGAAGTACTGCCTTGGGCACTCCAAAAGTAGCGTCCCCTATATATTTCCATGAAAACAACATGTACAAAGAGCACAATAACACTATTTGATAGAGCAAATTCTCAGCTACAAAACACTGTTTTTCCAAATAATCACCACCATTAGCAAAGCATTTTCAGCAGCAATGAACAAAGCCTACATGCGATGATTGCAAAAATACACGCCGGAGGAGGTGAACCAGTGTCACTGTCGTCACTGTTGAAACGAACCACCCACCCCATCACTACACTCACATTCACTGTTTGGTCTCTATAAACATTCAACAAGCATCAATGGATGTAAAGGAGTGCTATTATTTCTACATGGAGGAATGCAGTGGCACACTTATCCCTTATGCACACTTGAGTATCAATACCATTTACTCCAACATCACCTTTGCTGCCGTATGTTCTGTGGGAATGGAAGCAGTTGATGCCCCATACACGCCAGTATGCAGAAAGCATTTTGACAGTGTCTTCATTAATGTGCTTAACCTCTTGGTTGGCCTTGAAGTGCTTAAGCAACTGAACTTGGAGATCTTTGAAAGGCCCTTGCAACCAATCTCTTCTGTTTATAAGATAAGGAATATAGCAGCTTTGTACCCAGAAGACTTCTGCAGGGGATTTCACTACCTAAATCTACTAGCACCATCATTAAGTACCCTATGGGATTACCAGTCTATGACAAGTTTTGTGTTGTCTTGAGTCTGAATGTAAGTGGCCTTGCTGTCATCTCTTTCAGCTTAAGAGAAAATGCTTGCTTCAAAATGCATGCTGAACAGGTGACACTTCATCTACCAGCTTTAGAGTAAAACAGCATTAATCTCCCCCTTTTTAACCAACCACAGGAACACTTATAAAACCTGTATCTACTGGAAATATTTTACTTTGGATTTGCTTTCTAGAGTCACTTTCATCTACTGAAGATGGTTAGGTAGATATTTTATCAACACTGAAACATGGCAGAAAGGCCTTAATTTGTGCAAAATTGCATCTGACAGTCTGGTATCATCTGGTGACTCCAGGCTGTATAGCTACTGAAATATTTTCTGCTGCCGTCTGTTATGTGTAATGGAATATTGGTGGGAGGGTTCAGCTCTACTGTCTCACCTCCACCACCACCTGCCTCTGATGTCACGGGCCAACACAATAAAATAGAAGGCATTACTTTTTGAACAACTCTTGTATGCTGATTTACAGAATTAAGCAACAGAACTTACTCCTTACGTATTTTTTTAAGTAAAAAAACAGAGAGCAACAGAACCATAAAGCTCGTTTGACCTCATTTTTGTGAAACTAATGCATCAGCCTTGTTTGATGGCAGTGGCTGCCACTCTTTGTGAGCTCTCGAGGTGTGCATCAGAGACCTGTGATGAAATTTTACCCTCCCTGCACTTCATCCTTGAAAACATCTGTTTACAAACATATGTACCTCCCAGAAGCAGTGACATGACTAAGCAACTGTGAAGCGAGGGATATTTCTCTCAGGTAATGCAGGGCTTATAAAGATCTAGTAGGGAGAGACAATCTGATTTTTGAGCTGAATGTCTGATTGCAACACCACACATTCCGTTTGAAAATGTGTAGATAATGTGTGACTGAAATACGATGCTAACTGGAAATGGAGTTGCAAATAAAAAGAAATTGATGATTTTTTTTGGCAAAACCTGTTCTCAAATTCCTTTATCAAAATACAAAGCACAGCTGCACTGTCCACAGGACTGTGGTTACCCAATGTATCAAAACGCATACAATTATGCTGATGCTTTGCTACTGAATTTATTCAACTCTGTCATCTTAAGCGATCTCCCTCTGACTTTCCTAGGAGTGAGTCCTCCTACCCTGGCAGCCCTCACAGGGGATGAACCAGGGCCAATGGGGCTGAGGAGGTTTTCAGGACAGAGACTCAACAGGTCTGAAGATGACAAGGTTGCGAGAAGATAACAGTGTCTGATGAGGCGGGCTTTCCACTTTTTGAGTGCTTGCCCTCGTGGCTGGGCAACGTCTAGCAGCTGGCCCTGAGACCACTGAGATTTCACAAGAAATTGAATGCTGTCCCAGGCATTTTGTCCAGGGCTTCTGTGGCCACACAAGCAAGTTGTGCAGGTTAGAGCAGGCCCGTGGGCTTGTGCTCTGTGGAGAGCAGCATTTCTGGGCGCTGAGCAGAAGCAACCACTTCCAGTGCTCCTCTCCTTAATGTCTGGCTGTCAGGTGCTGTGGGCCCTACACAATGGGGAGAACTGTCCCTTCCCAGTGCTGACAAAAAAAGCCTGGGCAGGGATCCAGTTAAAAAAAAAAAAGCCAAAAGCTTTTTTGGGGAGCCAAAAGCTATTTCTGAATACTTCAGGATAAACTAAGCTGAGTTAACTTTAATACACGAAGATCTTCCCTGTTCTTGTTTCATTTAAAGCATCTGCAGAAAAGCAAAAAGTAAAACCTTTTTATATACTGTGGTGACTACCACTGCTTCTAGATAGAGCTTTAAAATGAACTTATAAAGTCAGTGA